GGCTCTTCTGCCTGAATTTCTCCACAAAACTTTGTCCTGAGTTCTTGGAATAAAACAGGGTGGGGAGGAAAAAATATGGGAAGGAATTCATACTCTGAAAGATAGATCGAGGTGGATTTCACCAGCAATTAAAACCATTTTTCCYTCTGAATAATCCCATTATTTTGGAYTTTTGTATTAATTMAACCCCRAATCACTGTGGGACATTGTCCARMTGAGTGATAAGAAACCARATCCAGACAACATTCATTTATTYCACCCTCCAAAACCTTCTTTCTAAGCCCTGAACTATTTTTAGTGACCAAGCTGCCCTTTGGAATGACATTTCAGCCCTTCCCTGTGACCCTTTGGGGAACTGGCTCTGTTTGCACATCCGAGGGACAATTCCCTGAGCCTGAATTTCTGCTTTTTTCCCTCAGAAAAAAAGGAGTGAAATTGCCTGTTACTGGGAGAACCAGCCAGGAGGCTGCCAGAAGCACAACTGTGCTTTCCACCACACCAAAGGACGTTACGTGGACGGGCTCTTCCTACCCCCAAGCAAAAGTGAGTTTTTCACCTCCTTTTTCCTTGAAATATTCAAGAATTTGTGGTGAATATTCCTTAAAATACCGTGGAGGCTCGGGGAACTGGGGATTTATGGCTGAAGGGGAGGTTTGCAGTTACAGGAATGGACTGGAATTCTCATTTGGGAATTTTTTTTCCTGCTTTGTGCTTTGTTGTTTTTCCTTTCCCTCTCCTTTAATCGATGAGTGGTGAATATTCATAAAATCTTGGGGATTTATGGCTGAAGAGGGAAGTTTGCAGTCACAGGAATGGATTGGAATTCTGATTTGAGAGTTTGTTTTTCCTTCTCTGTGCTTTGTCATTTTTCCTTTCCCCCTCCTTTGAACCATTAATGGTGAATATTCCTCAAAATACCCTAATGGTTCATGGCTGAAGGGGAAGTTTGCAGTCGCAGGAATGGATTGGAATTCTGATTTGGGAATTTTTTTTCCTGCTCTTCATTTTCCTTTCCCTGTCCTTTAATCCATTCCTGGCTGGGCAATAAGGAACTAAATCCAGGTGTGGTCTCTTATCAACCTCCTCTTATCAAATCTCCAATGTTTTGGGGTCAAAGTTCACAATTTATGTTTGATTTTTTTTCCTTTCCAGCCACTCTTCCGAGCCCCCCCGAGGCCACAGAGGATGAGGGGAAAATGGTGCAGCTGCAACAGAACAAACTCTCAGTGCAATCCAACCCCTCCCCACAGCTCAGGGGGGTGATGAAAGTGGAAAACTCTGAAAATGTCCCCAGTCCCACCCATCCCCCCGTTGTCATCAAYGCTGCAGATGATGATGAAGATGATGATGGTGAGTGGTTTTTTAAAATTATTTCAAGTATTTCTGTTTTAAATCAATGAATAAATTACAAAGTCGGTGAAATTTTAGTGGTTTAAGCCACAGAGAAAAGTCCTAATTTTTTTATGGATTGAAATATTGGATGAACCATCTAAAAATGACAAATCTTGGCTAAATCCMTGCATTAATAATTTTATTTTTCACTTCCAGACCAGCTTTCTGAAGAAGGAGAAGAAACTAAAACCCCAGTCCAGCCACCACCCACAGAAACCCACAACGGACTGAGGGTGATTTCCACCAGGAAATCCAATTCCAGTGTGAAGCAAGGTATTCCAAGAGCTGCAGGAGAAGAATTTGACAATTAAAARCAAAATATTTATAAAATACAATAGGACAGAGAGATTCTGAATGGAATCAGTTATTTCCAGGAGCTCATTGCCACCTAATCAYGTTCCCCAAGCAGGGAAAACCCTCCTGGATTGGTTTTGTGGGACAAAATAGAGCCACAATTTGGAGTTTAAATATCTGAAATTGTACCTTTGGGTATTTTGGAAATCCATATGCAAATGATATGGGAATCTTTCATCTCTCTCCATGAATTAATGCTTAAAAATGTGGATTTTCTGCTGGAGGGTGAAAAAAAGTGCCAGTTTTCCCAAATCCCACCTGTTCTTGGTTTTTTTGAACTCCTGGGGAGTACTGACAGGGTTTATTCCCAGTATTTTGGGAAGGATCTGCCTCAATTTCCTGAACTATTCTGTGCTTCCAGATGACAACTTAAATTTTGGGATAAAAACCCTAGAAGAGATCAAATTGAAGAAACTCAAGGAAAAAGCCAAAAAACAAGGTGGTGAGTTAATATCCTTCATATCCCTCCTTTCTTACCCTTCTGCCTTCTCATCCTTGCTTTTAATCCTGATTTTCCTTGGATAATTTTCAAGAAAAGGAATTTTTTGAGGGGAATATCCTGGAAGGGACAAACTTCCATGTTTTCCTGAAAACTAGTGATCCTGCTTAGAATTTTGAGGGCAAATCTCAGGGAATTTTCTAAATTTTCTTGTGTTTTTTCATGCAGAAGGTCCTTCAGGAGTGGCTGTGGATCCTCTCCAAGCCCGGAGCATTCCCGTGCCAGAGAAGGAAAACGTCCGGACAGTGCTGAGRACTGTCACCCTCTCCTCCAAGGAAGGTAAAGATAAATCCCCAAATTCCCCATTCCTTGACTCTTAAATCAAATTAGTGATAATTAGGATAATTCAGACATTATTTAAATTTTAAAGGCTGTGGTTGTGTTGGAAAAGTTTGAAATTTGTAGGTGCTGGGTTTGTTTGGAATTAAAACTCAGGAAGTTTTATTCAAATCACTTCTCCTCCCAGTCCTTCATTGGTTCCTGTGGTTTGGCTACCAAAAAAATGTCATTTTTTGGGGATAAGAGCTGGAGTGAGGATGCTTTTTGAAGGAATTCTTCTTAATTTTAGGAGAAGATCCTGTGATCCAGCTGAATCTTCCTGACAGACTGGGGAAAAGGAAAACCCTCATAGGTGGTGAGAGCTTTTTGTGAAGTGTTGACAGCAGAAATAAATTCTGTTAGCATCTAAAAAACAAAATGTTAAAAATTAAATTATAAAAATGTGAAAGATTTAATATTAATATAAATTAATAGTTTARCATTAAAATATTGAGAAGATCAACCTGGGAGGATTCAAGTTTGGGACTGATCACTCTAAACTCTCMGACAGAGAAACGTTCTGAAAATTTTTCTTATTTTATTTCTTTAGGAGGTGGAAAAACCTTCCTTCCCCTGAGGAGGAACGTTGCTGACAGGCTGGGGAGGAAGGCAGAGCTGCAGGAAAAGGCTGACAAGGCCCCGAAGAGAGGCCCAGGTACCAAACACACCTGGATTTCACACCTTTTCTGTGTTTTCTATTCGAATTTTCTGTTCCTCCTTTCTTCTCTCAGTTCTTTTTCCATGTTGCTTGAACCTCACTGATTTGGGAATCAGCAATCTCCTCTCATTTCCAAATATCCACGCAACATTGGGATTTATGCTTTTTAAGTTTATGCATTTTAAATTTATTAATTTTAAGTTTTTCTTTCCACCCTTCAGTTCAAGTCCTGAAATCCCTGAAGGAAAGGCTGGGACAGCCCTCTGAGCAGAGCAGCACAGAGCCAGGTAATAATTGGATTTGAAATATTCCTTTTTTTTTTTTTTTAAATTCTTAACAACTTCCATACAGCCTAAAATTGTTAATTTTAAAGAATAACTGGTTCTGGTTTTCCTGAATTGGGAATTGGCTTTTTTCAGCTTGGAGAGGGAAAATTTTAGGGTAGTTTTGTTGTGGCCCAAAGGAAGCCTGCAGGAAAGGTGGAGAGGGAATATTTCTATGGGATGGAGTTCCAGGACAGGGGAAATGGCTTCAGGCTGATCAGAAATGGGTTCTGATGAGATTTTGGGAAAGAATCCTTCCCTTTGAGGGTGGGCTGGGATGGAATTCCCAGAAAATCCATGGAAGTGCCCAAAGCTGGGTTGGACAAGGCTTGGAGCACCCTGGTGTGGTGAAAAATATCCCTGGAGCACAGGGAATGCAACTGGATGATCCTTAAAGTCCCATCCTGTCCCACGGAGCCCATTCAATCCCAAATTTCCTCAGTGCTGTGAGATTTTTGAGACTTTAATTGATGCCTTTTCATTGCCGTGTTCGATTTTTGGCAGAAAAAGCCACCAAACCCATCGAGGAGATCCGGGTGAAAACCCTGGAGGAAATCCGCCTGGAAAAAGCCAACCAGAGACGAGGAGAACCCCCGGCCAAAATCCCAACAGAAAGCAGAAAAACAGACGATTCCTCCTCAGCAACAAATCAAACCCGCACCCCCACCGTTCGCATCAAATCCCTGGCGGGAGCTTTGGCAGAAAAAAACCACAAGAGAATGGGAGAGGAGAAGGAAAAAACAGAGGAATTCTCCAGCAAAGCCAAAAGTGAGGGTGATGCCAGGAAACAGAGCGGTGSCACCCCGGCTGTGCCAGGCAGGGTGCAGCTGGCAGAGCCCGGCAGAGCCAAAGCAAGCGGGGAAGTGCGGATCAAAACCCTGGAGGAGATCAAAAGGGAGAAGGCRCTGAGGATGCAGCAGAGCGGGGAGAACGTTCCTGCTGCTCCTGCACAGCCTGAGCCTGCTCTGAGGGGCAGGAAACTGCTCCGGGTCACCAAGCTCATAGGTGAGGAGGGGGGAAATCACCTTCCTTCAGGTACCTTTGGATTTTCCCTGCTGTGGGGGTTGAAAATTCCAGGCTTTGGGGTTAAAAAATCACAGATTTCCTGTGAATTTCCCGTTAATTTCCCCTGAATTTCCCGTGAATTTCCCTGAATCCTGTGATTTTCCCCTGATTTTTCCCTTGAATTTCCCCTGAATTTCCCGTAAATTTCCTCTGAATTTCCCCATAATTTCCCGTGAATTTCCCCTGAATTGTCCATGAATTTCCCACAACTTTCCCCTGAATTTCCCTTTAATTGCCCATGAATTTCCCTTGAATTTTCCATGACTTTTCCCTGAATTTCCCTTGAATTTCCCATGAATTTCCCATGAATTCCACAATCATCTGCGTTTCCCACTGGAAAAATTCATTCCTTGAGGAGCTTTGTGGCCTCAATTCCCTTCTGCATTTTTSTGCCCTGAATTTGCAGGGTGGGATCCTCCCTGTGCTGGAATCCGTTATATTCTTCTTTAGAATAATGTTTGAGAAGGATTTACCAACTTCTGAACATCAGGGCATTCAAAATCTCATCTTTAAGATTAAATAATCTGTGATGTGATTGAGAAAGGAACAAATCCTTCAGGAATTGCTTCGTGCAGCCTTCTCCTCCATCCTGTTATTAAAAATAGGGAATTAAACCCCTCAAGGTTTATTTTTTTCTGCTGTTAACCAATTTTTTAATGTTTTTTTCTTGCTTTAAAGCACCTGGAAGAGAAGAAAAAATGATTGTGGAGTTGAACAAACCTTCCCTGAAAGGTGGCTCTGCACCTGCCGAGGTGAGGACAAACATTTATACAGAAATACCTCAAATTCTTGATCAATTTGATCATAAAATCATAARTTTTCCAAACATTTTTGTCATGGTTTGTTTCCTGCTCTCTGTTCTTCCCACCTTTCCAGATTAGGGAATTGCTGCAGTAAAATCCTAAATCTTGTCACTTTTATCAGTAGGGTTCCAATAAAACGTTAAAATCCTTCCTTTTAATTAATTAATTGTAAATAATTAATTTTAATACCTGRCAATGAATAAGAACCAGAGGTTCACGGGGGAAGATTATTTTTGCTTTCGGTGACTTTTCCCTGGCAAACGTTAAAATCTGAGTATTTTATTTTTTATTTTAATCCTAAAAGCTGGAATTTTAGAGGAATTCAGGCTCTGTGGGGGAGTTTTATATTCCCTAAAAAGCATGGCTAGGCCACAGCCAGAGCCTTCTGCTCCATTAAAACTTGGGGTTTTTTTTAGAAATTCCATTTTTAAAACTGTATTTCCATAGCAAGGATCTTTAAAAAAAAAATTGGATTCCAGTGATGCCACATGGAGCAGTTTTGAAGGGATTGCCACCCGAAATTCCTTAATGAATCCATAGATTTTTATCCTAATTACCCTCCTGGGTGGGTTTTTTTTTTTCCCCCAGAATGCTGGAAATTCTGGAGTTCAGGTGAAGAGCCTGGAGGAAATCATGTGGGAGAAACGTCAGATGAAACAACGCCAGGAGGAGAAACTCCCAAAAGGAGGAGGAGCATCTGCTGGACCCATTGCAGCTGAAAAACCCGAAAAAA